AATACAGACCAACCATCACTCAGAACCTCCTGAAATCTGGCTGAACAGAAGCCGTATAAGGAGGGAATTGAAGAAGCACCTAGGCCAGTAGGAGGGGCAGAGACTCGGGCGGATTGGGGCTGAATCACGGAGAAGCAGCCACAGGCCCACACCGGGTGCCGCGGTTTAAACCCGGGAGGGATATCTCTGCACTGGAGGTTTCCCGGAGGAGTGAGGGGACCCATCCCCACATCAGGCCACACAGCCCAGGGCTCCAGGGCCAGGAAGAGAAATTCCCACACCTTCGGGCTGTGAAAACCGGTGGGGACTGTCGCTGAGGGTCCTGGAGGCCGCGGGAGTCCCAGATTTCCTTTTAAAGGGCCCGCGCACGGACTCACTAAGACGGGCTCCCTCTGAGCCCCAGCGCTGGGCAGCAGCTTGAAAGGAACCTGGGACACTTGGAGAGGAACTAACCTGCCTGAGAATGGGGCAAGAGGTGGAGGGGCAGCTTTCTCCAAGGCAGAAGAGCTGGCAGAAGCCATTGCTCCTTTGGCGAGCCCTCCCCCCACAGAGCCTGCAGGCAGGTGCCGTATTTGAATCTCCAGCACCTGACTCACACCTTTGACTCTGCCCTGGTCATTCCTGGAGACCCCACCCCTCCCTACTTGCAAGCTCATCCAGGCCATTTCCAGGGGCTTCTCCATGCAAGGGGCCTCTCGAGCCTTATGCTTAGGACTTTCCTAAAATATCTCAAACAAGCAGCAGTGTGCCCCACACGGCTTGATAAGTGGTCCCAGGCATGGCACTGGTGGCAGTCTGCATTGGTTCATAGCCTGACAACGCCAAGCCCAGCACAAGTAACGGCCAACTACAGTTTGCTGTGTAGCTCATGCTGGGTGGCCCTGGGCAAGGCACTGGCAGAGGCTGACTTTGTACCTCCAGGGAGGCCCCAGAGACAGTGCACCTGGTGGTCAGACTTGACCACTCTGGATTACAACCCTACCACATCCACGAGTGACACACTCAAGGGGCACACTTGGTGAACACCAAAGCCCCACTGAAGTAAATCCTGCACCATAGGGGTGTTTCCAGCACAGCAGCTCTTTGGCTGTAGTTGCAGCTGGTCTTCACAGCTGACTGGCCTGGGGGTCAATTCCTCCCAGTGATGCCAACAGCAACCAATTCTCAACTACAACAGGACAGTGCACACAGCCCACACAGGGGAGCACCTAGAAGGCCCAGCTCAGGTGACTGGGGAGGCTGAGCCACTGGACCCTACAGGACACCTACTACACAAAGCCACTCTACAAATTCCAGGAGACATAGCAGCTCTACCTAATACATAAAAACAAACACCAGGAAGCAGCCAAAATGTGGAGGCAAAAAAAAACATGTCACAAAGGAAAGAACAGAAGAAATCTCTAGAAGAGGAACTAAATGAAATAGATCCAAGCAAGCTAACAGATACAGAGTTCAGAATTTTGTTTATAAGGATGTTTAAGCAGACTATTAGGGAAATAACTGAGAAAATCGATAACATAATAAAGTACCAATTTGAAATGAAGGCTACACGAACTGAAATGAAGAATAATTTACAGGGAATCAACAGTAGAGTAGAGGACGCTGAGAATCAAATCAGCAATTTGGAACATGAGGAAACAAAAAACACCCAACCAGAAGAGCAAAAAGAAAAAAGAATCCAGAAATATGAAGATAGTATAAGGAGCCTCTGGGACAACTTCAAGAGGCCCAACATTCGTATTATTGGGGTGCCAGAAGGGGAAGAAAGAGACCAAGAAATTGAAAACCTATTTGAAAAAATAATGACAGAAAACTTCCCCTACCTGGGGAAAGAAATAGACTTACAAGTCCAGGAAGCACAGAGGGTCCCAAACAAGAGGAACCCAAAGAGGCCCACAGCAAGACACATCATAATTAAAATGCCAAAGGTTAAAGACAAAGAGAGAATCTTAAAAGCAGCAAGAGAAAAGCAATTAATTACCTACAAGGGAGCAACCATACGACTGTCAGCTGATTCCTCAACAGAAACCTTGCAGGCCAGAAGGGAGTGGCAAGAAATATTCAAAGTGATGAAAAACAGGGAACTACAACCAAGATTGCTCTACCCAGCAAAGCTATCATTTAGAACTGAAGGTCAGATAAGGAGCTTCACAGATAAGGAGCTTCACAGATAAGAAAAAGCTAAAGGAGTTCATCACCAACCACCAGACCAGCACTACAGGAAATGTTGAAGGGTCTTCTTTAAGAAGAAGCTAATGAACAAAAGAATCTGACGAACTAAATAGATCCAGAGACATTGATGCATGCAACAAACAATCATATTTCAGAGGAAAGAGGAAAGGGGGTAGAGGGTGGGAAGAGATTAACCAAAGAAGTTATATGCATATATGCATAACCCATGGACACAGTCAATACCAGGATGAAAGCCTGGGGAGGGGGTGGGAGCGAAATGGAGGCGGTCAGTTAGGGGGGAAAATGGGACACCTGTAATACTTTCAACAATAAAGATAAAATTTTTTAAAAAGAATATATGTGGCATATAGTTATTGCAATGGAGTATCTGTGAATTCGAGAAGAGGAAGAGACAAAAATGCAAAAAGAAGGAATCACTGCGGGTGATGTCTAATGAAGCCTGCAACATACTGTGCTTTCCATTCTCCAGTAGCTTCCTTTGGGATTGGGTGGGCTACCTCACCTGGATCACACATGCCCTTTCCCCTTATATTGCACAGGCTTGGGAAGGATGCAGAACTTACCCAAAGGCAGCACCCATACTCTCAGCCTCTTGGTGTCTTAACCCTCTAAACTAGGTGCAACAGGCATTTTTCATCAGCAACATTCATCAGGGAAGAAAATAGGACACTTGAAGCCCTGTGCAAATCTACCTTAGATCCCTACTCCCATAGAAGAGTGAGCACCATCCACAACTGCAATCATAATACGCACTTGACCTTAATAATGACAAAGTGAGTTTTCAACAATTCATAGGGGCTTGAATCTCTGTAAAACAGATTACATTTTCTTTTCATTTATTTTTGGCATATTAACACCTGGTGACCTAGATTAAGAAATTAATATGTGAAAAGCAGACTACATCACTAAATTCCTTCACAGATGGAAAGTGGATTCAATGAGAAGCTTTGAATTACTTGGAGGAAGGGGGAGAATACCTACAAGTGAGTAAAATGAAGTATGAAAAAATGATGACAAAACCTGGCTCAGATCCAGGTAGATCCTGGCTACTTTCTGGACAAGTAATCAGGGACAGGAAGGGGGTAGAAACCTTGCTAATTCAGCTGCTGAAGGAACAGTGGGAGAGGATCACATTAGTTCAGGATGAGCTTGGGTAGATATTAAAAGAAATACAATCCTCTTACTGCATTGAGAGTGTGCATGTGTGGAGGGAGGGACGAGAGGCACTCACACAGTCTCTCAGCCTTTGGACAGGCAAAAGGACCAGTGCCCCATTCAGCTCAGCTTCTAGGTCAGCAGAAAGTGGGGGGCAGCCAGAGCCTGGGTCTGAAGAGGAAAATTCACTGTCACAGTGAGCAACAGAGCAAATCTGACTTCCAGTAAAACAGGAAAGTGCTAAATACCCAGTATCCCAGGGATGGAAAATCTGCCACGTGAAAGAGAGAACACAGTTGGACTGATAGAAACCATGAAACTCATTCCCTAGTGTTCATTTTCAAGAATAGCGCTCAAGCTACCATGTGAACGTCCTTTGCTCCGAACACAAATGAGGACCTCGGTGCCGGCAAGGTGTTCATTATAACCAGTTTCAGGGCAGCCAGGCCTGAAACTGGTACAATACCTCTGGCCCTATGCCTGGTACAAAACCTCTCCAACTGCTCAGGGCTGTGCGGTATGAACCTGGGATCCATTTGTGCACATTGCTGGGTAAGAAAAATAAATCACTGTGGCCAACGACTGAGGGTCTTATAAAACAAGGAACCAATCCGGGCAATACGGGTTTTTTTTTAATTGAATAAAACGCCCTCCTTCATACAAAAATGTGCAGAGCAGAACTATTAGGCTCAGGTCATATTTACTTCTGACCTTCCAGAGAAGGTCATTGGAGTCAAAAGGGGGCACATACAGATAGATCAAAAAAGACGGTGGGGATGTATGTAGATATGTTTTTAACTCCAGGATTCATTCCACAGCACTGTATTAAAGCCGCTGGTTTTTCGCGATCAGTCCTATTGATCGAAACAGATTTGGGGGTTATCTTCTGTGCTACACTGTTCCTTTCTGCTGCAGTCAGTAGCCGGTAAATCCCCCCACCCCGCCCTGAGAAAGGACAGCTACCGCAATCTCCCGACCGAACCTGCCGGCGCATCACTACCAGTGGCCGGCAGGGGAGCCGGGAGCCGGCGCTCAGAGGCAGATGCGCTCAGCTCGGGGGCGGCGGGAGACCCAGCGCACCTGCGACTGCTGGTGCCCGGCACCGGCCCGGAGAGCGGGCAGAGCGGCGAGCTGTGCCAGGGACGTGGGAGCGGGAGGTCAGCGCTCCCCTGGCGTCCCTCCTGCGGGTCCGCTCCCCGCCTCCCGGCCCGCTCCGGGCCTGCAGCGCCGGGCGCCGCCTTGCTGCAGACGCTGCAGCGCAGGGCAGGGCGTCCCCGCTACCCTCGCCCGGCCCTGCGCCGCGGCCGCCTGGCCTCCGCTCCCCTGGCTCCTCTGGTCCCTCGCCAC